TTAATTAGATATTATTAGAATTTTTAAACCTTGTTTTTAGTCTAATAGTAATATAATTTGTATTTGAGCACCAACAAAACTGTCAAAGAATTAAAAAAAAAAAAAAAAAAAAATCTAAATTTTTACTTAAACTTAATTATTTTAAAAACTGTTGCATAGAATTTTGCAATCTTTTTTTATTTAAAAGATATAAATTGAAAGAACTAATATTTTAATTTTTAGCTTTATATCATTTATATTTAGCTTTGTACAGATTCTTAAAAAGTGTCCATAATACCATGGTACCCCACTGTATATGTCCAAAAACCATGAATATTTAGTGAATAGCTATAATGGATATTCAAAGGATCCCACCACTATTCACAGCGACAATTACACCAATAGTAAATGAAATATATAGTCTTGATTTGTTTATTATCATGCTTTTTATGATAAACGTATAAATAGCCATCTCCTTTTCACAGATCTTTACGATCTCAATTGCTAATGAACTTGCAAAAACTTCCTCTACGTTATTTACTTCTAATTTATTATCGAGAAATATCTACAACTATATCAAGATCATATGCATATTGCTTTCTCCAATATCCATAAGCTTTTCATAAACTATAAACTATATGCTTAATCCCTTCGGATTTTATGGCATTTTTCTTTTTGCTTACAAATATCATTTGAGATTTGTTCTTCACGTTTCTTTTTCGGCTTTCATTTATACTGTTTGAATTTTTTGGTTGCTTTGAAATACAATAATGGTTTTTTTAATTCGACAAGACGAACAAAGTTTTGTACTTATTATTACATGTATTATTATTACCGGTAATCAAATGTCGTCATTATTGTATCAATCATTAATCCTAATGTCGGCAAAACCGATTCTTGGTGACGATACTAGTTATGTCAACTAGACAAAGATCTCTTTTTTGATTAATAATATAAAATTTGATGGTAAACTTCATATTGGAATTTGGTTTGAAACTCCTAGTTATTATATTGCACTCGATAAGCCGGAATTCTAGGATTCATATCAATTTATATACCATTCAATAGAAATCCCAGTTTATAGACAATTAAATAAAGTTTATTTTACAAACCAAGACAAGCTTATAAACAGTTTATCTAACCAACAAATTATTTCATCGGCATATTTATTTTTACATAAATTATAGCTTGTAAAATAGACTTGTTGGTAATGAATTGATTGTCTGTGAACTAGGATATCTATGAAGAGAATAACATTGGAGACTTCTAACTTATCATAATGAAAACCTCAAAATGAACCTTAAATTCACTATGGTGAAACTTATTTTACTTTAGTTTCATTACAACACTTACTTTAAATTATGATAATAAATCTCAAAAAACACATACTATATAATTTATAAAAAAAAATTCTTTATATAAAAAAAAAACTTTTCTCATAATTTATGCTGAATTGTACCTTAAAAAAAGAATAATAGTAATGTTTCTTAATGTAAAACTAAATTTACCTTTTTATAATGAATGAATAAAAATATTAAAAATTATATTATTTCTTCTTTTTTTTTTTTTTTTAATATTTAAGGTGATTATATTATTTCTGTTATGTCTTCAATTCACAAAAGATATAGAAAACATTCAAGTACAGGACAGTTGATGAAACACATGGTGAAAATTTTCATTGAAAAAGAAATTTTATTGGACTGTATATAATAAAATAAAAGAGATCATTGTGGCTGGGTAATGCGCCATCAACCTGGCACACATTCATTAAAATAGTATAGGGGTTTAAAGTTTTACTAATAAATGGAAGGATCTGACCTATACGCCACAAATTTTTGGTCGCACTTTATCAGTGGCGTATTTGTGAAACATGCATAAAGTTTTTTTTGAATGATGATCTTATATAAAAATCACCCTTCCCTGAAATTTTAATAAATAAATACTTTATCAATGGAAAATTGACTCCGACAATTTGTATAGTGTTCTAACCAAAAGAGCTAAAATTTAGTCTGGAAGGATGCGGAGGTAACGGTCAGACATTCCTGCGTTCGATTGATTGGTTGATAGATCAATTGAATAATTTATTTATACACTTTAAACTTGCTTATTATTCGTACAATAAAATAATAAGTCCACTGCTGTGCATTAGCTTAATAAAAAATGTCACATAGGTTAAATATCACATGGACCGCAAATTAATTAACTTATTGATACAATGTGATATATAAAATACATGATATTTTGTTCGTATAAGTCGCCATGATGCACATGCTATAAAGCAAATAAATATCAGAAGTGCTCAAAAAATAAAAATAAAAAAGACAAATAAATAAAAAAATAAATAAATAAAAATAAAACAAAAAAAATAAAAAATAAAGTGTTGCTCCCATACTCACCATGACAACGAAAACAGAAATTTCCTCCGAAACCATACCAAGCATCAAGCCAACATTAGACGAATTCATCGAAGGAGCTGTCAATGCTACTAATAACGCATTATCACCTATTATCCCAATGCTTGGAGTTGTTACCTCTTTAATAAATGAAATATTTATAATCCATGAGAATGCACAATTCAATAAAAGAATGACCAAATCTATAATTAATCGCATTTTATCCGTCGAAATTACCATAAAATCTCTAAACTCACAGACAAAATACAGCGAAAAATTTCAAGACTTGCAGCATCAAGAATCATTTGTAAAATTTCAAGCTACCCTGAAGAAGATTAAAATGTTTGTAGAAACTGTGACACAGTTAAGATCCTTTGATACATTTTTGCATGCTACGAACATAAAGAAGGAGTTTATTGAGCTAATGAAAGAGTACGATGCATGTATGAATGATTTAAATTTTACAATGATTATCATTTTTAATGAACAACGAAGAATTGATAATGATATCTTGGTGGACGTTCTTGCCAAAATGATTAAGGTAATGAATACTTTTCATTGTAGCAAACTTGTAGAGTCTAACACATCCTGGAGAGATTAGTCAACATCACTGTTATTACCAATTTAATAATTCTAAATTTAAACCAATAAATGCAGGATACACAAGCGCCTCTTTATCAAGAGATATGTAACGTTAAAAACCAACTCGAAAAAACAAAATACTTGAGTCTACAAATCGATCCAACCTTGCTAAAGGATTCGACACTTAGCCGCAAATCAGATTGTCGTAGTAAATTAAAACAAGTCACAAAAATGGTCTATAAAGGTTTTATCGAAGTAGCGTGCAAATCACGTGACTCAGAGGACCAAAGGTTTCACCGTGAGTTATTAATTCTGGGAAAACTGGATAAATGCCAGAATGTTGAAAAATTCTACGGGTTTTCTAAGATTGATGGTAAAGAAGTTATGGTTTTTGAGTGGGTTGAAATGGGAAATTTGGAAGAGATCTATAATAAAGAACGCATTTCTTGGAGTTTGAAAGCTCGAATTGTGTTTGAAATTTGCAAAGGGATCATGTTTTTGGGCTCTGTTGGCATTTTTCACAATGATATTCGATGTGAGAACATAATGGTAGGATGCATAAATGTTTTTGTATAATCTATATTTGTTAAATTTAATATATACTAGCATATATTGTAGATGTCACGCTTTATGGAACCGAAACTCGCAAATTTTCATTCTGCTATACTGCATAATGAGACAAACATAGAAATAAATCAACCAATAGATGCTATTAATTGGATGGCTCCCGAAAAAATGCGTAAATTATTGAAAGAATCTGAGATTTCTGACCAAATTCCATATAGCCAAAAAGGTGAAACTTTCAGGTAGTTTTTCTTTTTGTTGTTCTTTTTTTTCAAATGTTAACTACAGTTAATTAATAATTTATTAATTTTTATCATAATTGGTTAATTTTTTAATACAGTTTTGGAATGCTTATATGGGAATTAACTTACCAAAAGATTCCATATAGTAATATGAAATCAAATGATATAATAACTCATGTTACAAAAGGCAAAAGAGAAATTTGTGATAATTTTCTTGATCCGCACAATAAAATTATTCATGAAGGCTTCTTAGATATTATTCAACACGGTAGATTTTCAGCCTAATATTTTAGATGGCACAAATTATAAATTCTAACATTCACAATTAAAATTACTAATTATTATTTTATTTTTAAAGCATGGAGAGAAGTCCCAGAAGAAAGAATCAGTATGAATACATTATATTCAAAACTTTTAGAATTGATTTAATGGGTTTACTTGAAATTCACACAACCTTTTATATGTTTGATAAGATTATTTAATTCCTATGAATAAGCATAATATTTTGTACTATGTTAATTATTTTTATGTTTTCGTAATAATAATGGCACAGAAAAATGTAATTTAGACATTTTGTTCATTATTCTGTATTCATTATTTCGTTATATGTTCAAAAGAAATTATCATTGAAAGTTTAAACAAACGCATTATGGAGGCAGTGAGCACGCCAATCAATAATAAGAATGCTGGTTATTTTTAACTCCCATAACATATTTTACCTTTTGACGTGCGATCTTATAATTTTTGTAACAATTAAAGAGGTGTTTTGCATTGTTCGCCATGTATGTATCTAATTTTGACTTAAATTATTATGCTGGAGTGTCGCAAAAAATTATTTAATAGTTTTTTTCGTCAGTACAAAATGAATCGTGAATGAATACAAAAATGTCTATGAACATCAACAAATAATCATTACAATAAGATATGGCAATTCTGGTATTGCAAAAAAATTGATGATACTGGTTAACATAGATAGACTTGCTGCCCAAATTCCAAACCATTATAGTTTGGATTTGTCCGTGCCCAAATCCCGAACTCTGGCCAAATTAATATCTCAAAAACTTTATTACCAATCTCATTTAAATAAATGGTATATCAAGATTGCTTTTTGGATTTAATTGTTTATTTGTTTTGGAGAGTTTTGGATTTGTCCGGGTTTTGCCAGCAAGTATACATACAGAGATTCATTACAGTTCACTACAAGAAAATTAACTTAATAAATTAGAATTTCGATCATCACTTAAACATTAATTTAGTCAATATGTTTGATGACTAAAAAAAAATAGACAATTTGATGAGATACACAGGTAAAATTATAAACCTTTTCCAAATGTGTTATATTAGAAAATTTTTATAAAGAATAGTGAGTTATTCCTAAA